CATGTGTATTTAGTATTAAGTCCCATCCGCCATGCCAAAATTACAGCCAAAACATGATTTCTCTGAAAACTTATTGGATCATTAAATCATTCAGGAGTGTCTCTTTTACTATGTTCAGTAACACAGAGGATACCATTCAAAGAAAAAATTTAATGGGAATACACAAACACACTTCACTTCAGACACACTGAGATGTACTGTGAGAGTAAAACATATTTAAATACAAATTAGATTGTGCTCAGTTTTTGAGCCCGTGTTTAATTTCCTATCTGTAACGTGCATCATTAATGTGCTGCAATGGTTGCATTGTTGCTGCTTCCTTCATTACCCTTCATTATTTCTCAAGGACTTCAGCGCAGATGAAACCTCAGCCTACTGGGGTTTATACAAGCGTGAGGGCAGGTGTTTGTGTACACTTTTGCACGAGTGTCTGTTGTTTTTATGCACTTGTCACTCCATTTTCTCATTTCCGAAACACAATAATGAGTCAAGATGAGCTTGTGAAAGCATTGGCAGTGCAGCTCAGCCTGACTCCCCACCTGGCCAGCTCCTCCTAGCCTGTCCCTTTATTAGCTTCCCCTCATGCTGGACACAACAGGAACAGCTTGGTACCCTCCCTCCTCTCTTCACCACTCACACCTCTCCCAACTCTATTTTCCTGCTAATTACCTTGTTGTACGAGCACCAAATGCTACCTAACGATTCACTTAATTGCAGAAGTGGTACATTAGATGATATCAAAGGACCTTTTTAAAAGTCATCCAATCCCATTCCAAGCGGCATTTAGAACCAACCCAAGACATCTGTTTCATTTCTGTGTCATTTGCATTTTTAAAGGTTACAAACTGAACAAAGCAACGATACAGATCTACACCTCAAGATTCTGTGTTTTCATTCCCTTGCGATGCCTCTCCCGCCTTACAATTATACACATTTAATACACACACAATCACATACATGTCAGAGGACCTGGGTCACATTCAACACTCAATTAAAAGTGCAACTGATCACCCTACATGCTTTTATCTAGAGCACTACGTACGCGTGCTACCCATCCACCTGAAAAGATGGGGCTAATTAACATTTTCCTATCGCCCCAGGTGTGCCTTGTCACACTTACATATACACCGATATCTGCAGTGCTAGCAATTTATTCAGTAGCAGTGGCTGCAGCTAGCATTTCTGACACAGGCTTCACAATGATTTATGAACCTGCTCATTGACCTAGTTTATTCTGAAAAAGGAAAAGGGGGCACATCTCCTCGTATATGCGGCATATCCATGCCATGGAGCCGGCCTGCAGTCAGTGGAGAGCATGGGAGGAGGAAAAAGATTACAAAGCAGACTGCTCAGACACCCTCTAGGCAACACGTTTACAAGTTCTCCATCTTCTGAAGTACAACACAGTGAACAACAGCTATAATGAAATCTTTTCCCAAATGCAGAAAAGTGATGTCTAAGCATTAACCTCCAACTCTGCACATGCACCAAGGACTTTGATAACATAAGGCAGTGCATGCTCTTGTCAACCCATTTGTGAACAATGTGTGCTCAACATCTAACAGCACTAAAAGGAAACATGTTTAAAAGACTAAGCCCAGTAACCGCATCAGTCCCCTCAATCTGGCCCACATTAATAATGCAGAGGCACCTCTCAGAGGCCTCTTCCCCCTCTTCCTCTCCAGTCTACCTTTCCCCATCTAACAGAGAGAGTGGTGAGTGCTGCCCAGCTTGATGTCCAGCATGCAGCAGTGCCACTATGCTCACTGGACACTGAGTTCAATCTGTTTCAGAGCTGCAATTCAATTATCTCACCAGGGTTCTGCTCAACCACTCGTGAACGGAAGGGGGGCAAAGGTGTGTTCAATATGAGGGAGGGAGGGAGACAGAGGAAGGTGAAAGGCGGGGGGTGGGGGCAAGATATATCATTAACACAAACCCAGTTCAACATGGATATAGATTTAAATGCTGCTTTTTCCTGTGCGATTAGCTTTGGCTTTACAATCACTAGACGGATGTCAGGACCTGATAAAGCTAATCACTGCAGTAAGCCAATGCGGTGGGATTTAGCACCCCACCCCCTTCTGCCCCAGTCCCCCTAAAGACCTGGCTGAAAGAGAAAGCTGAGAAAGCCCTGGGCCCAAAACAAGCTGGGCATGGAGTGCTCCACAAAATGACCCTCCCCCTTTGGGATCTACGATAGGAAAACAAAAAATACAAAAAGAAAACACTGCAGATGGTCATATCTTTATGTCAGTGAGGTATTTTTACACAGTATATAATTGATCATAACTTCATTTTTGTTGTTAAAAATACTTACTGTTTAAATATATTTCACAAAGAAGTGGGACATATTAATTGATTTATTAACTACACTTAAAGACAGATGAAAACTACTATATTTAAGAGAGATGGAGCATGAGAGAGGGTGCATTCAAATAATGAAAATAACACTGTGGCAAAAGAACAATGGCGCTACATTAGACAAGTGCTGCACTGATTCTATTCGTTCTGGTGCCCGAGGCCGGACACTTGATTGGTTCAGACACCAGTCCTGCAGATCAGCTTCAGGAAATTCCTACTAAATATCCATTAAACTTGCAACAAGTCACTAATGTGTTATTATAATACCCCATGTGCATATTTCTTACTCCTCATCCCGTCCATTTTCTATGAAGTGCCTCAGAAGGCTTTGATCCGCTCATGATCAATTGATTCATATCAACACTGTTCTACTTCATCATAATCAAGTAACATAGTAGACTCTGTTGAACTGCACTTGACCCACCTACAAAACCGCTTCCTATACCCACTCCATCTCGGTCAGGCCAACACTGCTGTCATTTTTAAACCGTGAAGTTGGGTCAGGTCAATTTAAGCAAAACTGTGTGAGGTAGTGTAGTGCCAACATGGGTTTATCCATAAATGGAACTGGAAGATCTGTGACAGGAGATCTTACGATTTTTGACAAACAAGTAAATGTAGACAAGGACTCATTTTGATTAATTTCATCCCTCCCCGTTAGTGTTCCTCTGGTAACACTTGCACCCTTGGCAAAAACTTATTTCTGTGCCCAAAGATGGTCCTGGTTGGGCTTATTGATGTAGAACAAAGGTAGAAGATGAAAAAAGATCCAGAAAATCCAGTTAGAAGGCGTATTAATTACCAAGATGTTACACAGTTGTTTATATCTCTATCTTGGTGTCTGCAAAGTGACTAGTAAATTAGCCCAGGGCAACAAGCCACGCACTACATGTATTTTTGTCTACAGTAAGGTATCTGGATAAAAGGTTTTTGGCCAGGACAGTGTGTTGCCTGACAATGGGACAGCTATGTACAAGGTACAGTTCTGTATTTGTGTTTTTTTATAAAGAGTGTGGCCTGTGGCTTTGGTCCGAACCGCTATCTCTCAATCCCAGTATCACTAGTATTACCCATTAAAGGTGTCTTCTTATTTCTTCACCTTCCTAGCTCTGTCCTATCCCCATGTCTCCAGGCCTCCTGACCTCTCACCCGTCACATTTAAGCCATTCAAGCAGTCAATGCCTCTATTCAATCCCCACTGCTGCTCAACTCATATTACATGAGTGAGGTAGAGAGAGTGTACTGAAAATAAAGGATAAGAAACAGTATGAGAAGGGGAAAATAAAATAATCTGGAGACTTCATAAATTTTTCATGAATTTTCATTTAGAGTGGGAGAGCCCCTTACAGCAATCGATAGATCAAGCTGCTGTCATGCAGTTAGCACCTGGGGGCTGCTGAAAAGCCCTCGGGAAGACAGGGGACAGGATCAGAGGCGGAGAGCAACCCCCTCCTCTCAACACACAAAGTCCATTTCCCAAAGATCACAAACCACCCACTACCCATCCTACTACCACTTATCATTGTAATCACCTTAGAAATACAGTTACAGGTCACTCCTACTACGAGGGAAATATTATTTCTGCTCAGAATATTGTCAAACCTTTAATAAGCAAAATGTTGTTTTCTGTTTACTAAGGAGAATGGGAGAGTAGCATCTTGTTAAATTGAAAATTAATAGAAGTTAATTTCAGCTAACTTTACAATGCCTAAAGTTCACGTCACTTATGGTTTGAAATCTCAAAGTCTCCCATCCATGTTAAATAACACAAATCAAGGGAAGCATCTAAAAAATGTGAAAATCACTAAACATACATATTATAGCAGGATTATGTCTCATGAAAATAGCCCTTGTCTGTAACACAGTCTTTTTTTACCTAAAATTACAATGAGTAAAAACATCATAAAGACATGGAGACTTTCCGCTCCGCCTTATGTGCAGTTGAGGTGCCTCGGAGCTGCTCCATAGGAAGCCCAGCCTGAGCCTCCTTGGGGGGAGGCTCATCTTCAAAGGTAATTTCATCCACAGCTCAGGTTCTGCCTGTCAGTGTTCACCAACACAGTCCAGGCAGCCTGTGTCAAATGTCCGTCAGGATTTTGATCTGTGCATGACGTTCTACCCCACCCACCTTAGAGAGACCCATGCCTGCTATGCCATCATGTCTGTCTCATTTAGTTTGACAGTAGCTTTATGTCCAAGTCAAAGGTCTGCAAACTTCAATAAAATGTTCTTGAGGTAAAAATATATAAAATTTATCTCATGTCCTGTGTTGAAAAACTCATTCTGCACAACTCATTATCCCCCCAAAATCACATGTAGTGAGACTGGGAGCTTAATTGTCCCTTATAGACCTACAGTAAATTATTACAGTGTGCAAACAGAGAACACCAAAGCAAGATGGAATGAACTCTATTCCCTACAGTAAGAACCATTTCATTTTCCATTATGTATATAAAAAAAGATTGCATAATGTTGACAGGAAATATTCTCTCTCAATTTTCTTGTGCTGAATATAAAATTATTTTCAATATATGGAAGCAGCAAGATCAAGACTTTTCTTCATCTAGCAAAAGGACTTGTGCAAAAAAATCTAAGCAATGCGCAAAGAGGAGATATTAAGAAGAGTTTTGACTCACATGCTACTTCCAAAGATGCATTACGGCTGACAGCCTCCCCCAGGTAGTTCCGGGCCACGCAGACATAGGCTCCCTCATCTGGTTTGCTCCGCCGTCCATGAACTATGCGAAGGAAGAAAAGAGAGCCACTGGGCAGCAGCATGCGGTGAGAACGAGGGTCATCTTTGTCCGTTTCCACTCGCTCTCCATCCTTGTACCACTCCACTGTTGGGGTTGGCCGCCCCTCTGCTTTACAGTTGAGAGTGGCGGGCTCCCCTTTGGAGACAATCAGGTCAGATGGGTGCTCCACGATCCGGGGTGGGGAGTCCTCCTGGCGCAGACGGGATCCTGGAGGAGAAAGAGATGCAAATCAATCATAGACGAAAAACATAGACTTTTAGCATCGTTTCAGCTCAATATTTTAATATTAATAGAGATTCTAAAATCAATAGCCCCATCTATTAACATGATAGTCAGCAGGTACACTACGTAAATAGGGAAAAGGTAGAGATTAAATTAAAAACACAACATGATTACATTCCCCATCTAGCAGGGCTAATGTGACAACCTTTGATCTACATACAACCAAAAACTCAAATTCAGGTGCCAAATCAGCACTGTTGGGGAGAAGGACATACAAGTTATTTTACTTAATTTGCTGCCACCGCTACCCAGATGGGGATAAGCAATGGAAAATGGATGGAAGAACTTAACTAATAGTTACTAAAGCTGGGTTAGAAGCATGTAAAAAAACAACATATATTGGACCTTTAATCACAACAAAAGGCCAGTCAAAAGACAGCCATCTGGTCATCTCAACCCTATATGCAAGGGCTTGTGGGTAATTGGACCCATGGGTGAAGAGTGAATGGAGGCATATAGTCAGCTTACCTACTAAGTATACAGACACCCAAATTACATATTTGGCTTTCTTTAGGGTGCAAACAAGTACAACTGTTTTATATGTGATGTGAATATGAATGATGGGGGTCCAGACTAATGTCAAATGCTAATCCCCTGTGGCTCAAAACCATGGCCCACTCTTTTTTATTGGGACTTGCAGTGGGTGAGCTCAGGGAATCTGGCAGCTAAGATAATGCTCCCCAAGTCAGAGTGCAGTGTGTGTCTTCGTGACCAGGTCTTAACCACGGAGATAAGGTGTTGTAAGCCACACACGCATTTACATCACAGAGGCCATGGGAACTATGCAACAATCGAAGAGTTTGATCCATCATCAAACAATTAAAGACACAGTAAGGAGTTCAGGGAATGAAGCAAACTTTTCCAATAGCCCTTTCTTTATCCTCTTTCTTTTGAACCACATTCATTACCCCATCAATAACTCTTGATGTAAACCCGCAAGTGCTGTATTAAGTAGAGTGCTGGGCTCTTTGTCTTAAAATTAGTTGTTGCAGGTGTGCATGTGATTGAGCTGAGTTGATGACTGTGCCCTTCCCCGGGGCAGTGCAGTGGGGTAATAGGACGATGCCTTCTGCACAGAAGAGCAGTGTACCACATAGGCCTTTGTGCTTGTGTAAGGGCTAATTTCAACATGGGATGGAGGCAAACGAGTGGAGCTTCCAGCTCTTTGTTTGCCTGGGTTTGCACATGTTCCACTACCCCTTATACTTGAATCCCCCTAAGGAAAACCGCACACGCTGTACCCTGGTATTTTCTGCCCAGGAGTCTGCGGGCAAAAGGACAGGAAGAGTTAGAAATCCACTGATCAGCAAAATACACTTCAAAGACAGTGTGGTGCATGTGTGTGCACACGTTCACACACATACATATACATGCAAATACACTGGGTAAATGTGTACTAGTCCACCATTTGTCTCAACAGGGATCACGCATCAGACAGTGGCATATCGACCCCTGAACAGGAGGTAGTCTGTTCTCTCTTCTTCCTAATTTGGGTTAATTCCTTCCATTTCCCTGTCATTGATTAGTGATCAGCTCTAGTGTCTTGCTCTAAGTGGGGCCACAGACAGGGGTTTGTTGTGGTGATATCCTGCTCGCAGAGTGCATGATCTAATCTCATTGGCATTATGTGGAAAACTGAAAATGTACTATTGTTGGTGGAACCAACCTACAGTACACTGCTGGCAGTTTTTAACCCACTCTCTTTCACCAGTGGTAGGTAACAGTAACCTAGCATGCACTCGGTTTCCCTGTCAGCTTAGGGACAGAGGGGCAAGTTTGTATTCTGGTGGTAAGTGACTTAATAAATGGAGCAGTAATTAACACTGTGACATTGATAAATGGAAGGCAAGATAAAGGACAGAGACCCCCACCTCCCTCAGATGGAGTGTCACACGCACATTTATTCTTATCTCATTGGCACATCTGCTTCCCTTATAATATACAGGCCCCGTGGTGGCTTTCCACTAAGGCCATTGCGCATGCACAGCACTAAACTGTGGCGACTCCATTCGATTTATATCAATCTAATTTCTTTAAATCCAATTTGTATTCCAATCTACTGCTTTCTAATCACTTAAACCTTGAGTCTCCATCTGCTCTCTTCTTTCCGGTGGAAATGAACACAGCAGATGCCTCTACAATTGTCCTTTCATTGCCAGCAAAAAGCAGAGATGGGTGCACAGAGGGCCAGACGTGACTGGTCAGTGCCCTTCCTCAGTGGAGGTAGTCAGGTGCAGATATAGAAAAGGTTAAAAGCACATCCATATGCCATGGAATATGTTCTAAAAGAGCCACATCAACTCAGTACAGGATAACCTCAACATGTAAACCTTGCATGTTGTTGAGCAAGCTTCACTTTCTAAAATGTTTGTAACTGCATGTGTGCGTGTTGTTCTGTTTTTTGTTTTTTTACTGTGATCCATGTACTACAAATGCTGACCAAGAAGATCAAATAAATAAAAAAAGCATGCATCAGACCAAGCTCCTCACAGAAGTGAAAGTCAATTTTCAGCTTCCTATTGGGCCCCCTTTCTCACTCTTTACGTTAAATGGGCTTTCTGTTGCCCTTTTAATGCGATCATTGGTGCTGTGCAATCAAGTGCTCTCTGAGCTGAGGCGAGTGCACTTCACTGGGTCTCAGGGCACACGCTCCAATCAAAATGCTGTGTTTCCCCCTGTCTGCAATAACACCACCATTACTTTTCACCACTGCTGTGCAGTCATCCTCTCCTGGAGGAAAGCAGGAACCAGAGAACAAACAAGCAAGCACACATACAGAGAATGCAGCCAGAGAGGGATTACTGAACCAGAAGCTGATTCTTTTCTGCCTTTTCTTTCAGTCTACTTATGTCAGCTTCACTGAGATCGGATGCAATTTTGCAATGCTGCAAGAAATCTACTGCTGCTTATAAGTAGTAACCCAAGAAGTCAAGCAATCCAAGAAATGGGTAGTTTTGCAGTATGCTTTCTCACACTTTGGTGTTTTCTGTGTTTCAAATTCACATTTCACATTTATCACTGAAAGATAACAGACAAGATATCCACTTTTAACACAGTTAAACAAAAACTGTTACATTTGGATTATTTAGGATACAAACACTACTTTAACTATCATTACTGCTTATTCTCCCTCATATTCCATGGCCACACACACAGAAAGGACTCTTCTATTATCTTTGTCACATATTTATTCATGCGTGCAACAGAAGGTCAGGCCTTTGATGATCTTTTAGTAATTATTTTTATTAGCTCCCAGGAGAAATTCTAGCCCACCAACCAAATCAATACCCACACCAGTCTCAGCCAGAGCATAAAAGGAAGGACTCCCCAAAGAGATGTTAGTTATTCTGCCAACAGACATGTGCGCTGATCACAGGTAACCAACGGCAACCTCGTAACAGGGAAAAAAGTTACAGTCACTGAGGCTCCATAAATATCAGAAATGAAAACCAAGGTCCTGGACAAGATGCAGTAACCCTATAATGTGGATACTGAAAGGGAAGAGGCATTTCAGGCAGAAAGTGCGGAAATTCAGCCAGCTGAGTGAATATAAAATTGTACAAAACAAGACTAAAGCCTCAAAGAAATTTCAGAAGGAATGAATTATGCATTAGACCCATGTTGTCCATTCTGAAATATATTCTCCCCCTGCCTCCCACTTCTCCTGGCTCTCTTCACAGCTCCTCAACCTCGCCACTCCATCTCTTTCTCTCTCTATATATGTGCCTCCACCTCCCAATATCTCTGTCTCCTTCACTTGCTCCCTGTCCTGTTACATCCTACCCTCGCTGTGAGGGTGACAGAGTCATATCCGTCATGTCATCAGAAGGGATATGCGAGAGCGCAGCAAGGGGGAAACTGGGGGTGGCGATAAAATGATGTTACTGGCCGTCCTCGCCTCTGCACTGGCCTGCCATGACACTTGCAAGCAGCCTGTTCTGCACCCGAGATTCATCTTCTTTACAGCGATCTGTCAGTGGCGTCACACCACATGAGCTCCAGTGTACTTGGTGAGGTATCACCAAAGACAACCTGCTGTATCAACTGGAGTCCTTCCCAGCCCACAGCATAAAGCCAGCCACTAGATACAGCCTGGAGTTATTGGCAAAATCCTTAAAGTGAAGACAAAGTGAAATGAAGAGTGTTCATAGGTGCAGAGCACATTCTTCCACAAGAGAAGGAGAGCCAGCAAGCCAGCAAGCTAGCAAGCTCACATGATGGGCTCTGTTCCACCTCAGCACTCTGCTACTCTACTGCCCCCCCACCCCGTTCTCCGACTAAGATCTATACTCTGAAAGCAAACACAAGGGTAATTCTAGGAGCTGCTCCGAACATCTCACTGCATCCACGCTTGCCTCCAACAAATATCAGATAGAGTTCCACTCCGAGTGTATTTTGGGCAGTGGCGTGGTGAGGTCGTATTGACTCTGCATCTGTGTATTTGCACTCTCTTCCCCATGCAGTTAGAATATATAAATAGGTTACTGTGGGAACAGAATATCTGATTGTGCTGCTAACGGTTGATTCACATAGCTTGCATATCAATCATTTCCCACCTTGTTTTTTCCCCAAACTACTCTCATTCTCTTTCTTCATTCTACTATCAGTAGCCATGAACTGAAAAGGTGATGTTATCTTTAATTTCAGCAAACGGCCTGTATCAGAAGAGGTGAGGTTTCTAACTTGAAACAAGAGTCTAAATATAAATATAGGAGGCTGCGTAAGGAGTATAGCACTAGCTGTGTGGGACTGTCAAGCTACTGTTAGGGACACTAAACTGTGATGCAGATTAAATGATTTCCGATGCCAGGGCCACTCAAGCATGTAGCTCGCTGCACCACCCCACCTTCTTTAGCCCTCTCTTTTCCTGCAGATCGTTCTGAGCAGTCTGTGCTCAGCTATTTTCTTGCCTGCCTCTGCTTTGC